AATTCCCTGGTAACTCCCAGTGCTCTAAGACCTGGACAAAGACTGCCCTGGCTACCATCATCTGCCTGGATTGACCTGCCCTGCCTCCTAGCCTCACTTTCCGCATGTTCCCTTCTGCTCCTTGTCCTCCAGCAATCTCTGTCTTCTCCCAGAGGACTTGTGGACATGGCCTTGGACCTCCTCACCTCACCATGACCTCCGCACATGCTCTTCTCTTGCCCACAATGTTCTTTTCTACCCTGGGCCTCGCCCAGACTGAGTCCCACTCATCCCTCAGACTCCACACGGAGCCTCTCTGATTCCCCCAAATGGGTTTGCTGGCCTTACAAATGTCCTCAGGCCCCTCTATTTCCACTGCGAATGTTCATCACGCTAGTAATTAGTTAATCAGTGTCTGCTTCCCTGCTTGGTGGCAGCCCCATGCGGAGAGAGTGCAGCCTCTGTCATTCACTGCTGTCACTGTCTTGCCTGCACATAGTAGGTGCTTAGGACTGCGAACAAGAGAGACCTTCTTACTCTGAATTCTAGAAAGGATTTCCAGGAGCAGAGAGGGGATAGGTGTCATTTCACGGATCTCAGAACCAGAAAAGAAAAGAAATAAAGTTTATCTTCTCTTGCTCAGAGTAAATGCGTGTGGGGGAGACACATATTACCTCAAACGTGTAAAAAAAAAAAAAATCCCAGAGAACAGTGAACAAAGCTATAAATACCGCTGAGCGCCGGGTGAGATCACCTGAGCACAGAGCAGGGATTTATGGCCAAGTCACAGGGCCTGCCTTGTATTTATAACGGTGTAACTCACTAGTACTCCTCCCTGCCCACCTGCCCTCCCTCACTCTGCTGTTCCATGGTGGCCTCATTTCTTGATCTTCTGATGACACAGGACAACTGGGTCAGGCCCCAGGGTAGAGCCATCTCTTCAAAAATCTGCTAGGGTTTCCCATTTCCTAGTGAATTACAAACACCAAAGCCGGATGCTCAAAACATGCAAAGTATTAACTCCCCTTAGGGCTCCGTGGACAGCTTTACTGCCTTCCAGCTGATTCACATATAGCACATGCTTCCCAACCTTCCAACCCATTAGTAGTTCCCCAAATAGGCCCCAGGTTTCTAACCCCATGACCCTGCTTATTCCTTCTATCACATGGTGTATTTTTTTTTAAGCCATAAATCTCCAGTTAAAACTCCTCCTTCAAGGTCCACTTCAGACACCACAGATTCACTGAGCCACCTGCAGAGATGACAGCTCTTTGGTTCCAGTGTTGCTGAGTTTCCACTCTCACCTCATTGTCTGCTATGACAGGCACATATATGGACACGGCTGGCCTCTGCCTCAAGCTGTGGGTCCCTTTCCAGCACATCTAGGTTCCCCCTCCAAGGTCTACTGGGCCCTGCAGATGGGCACACCCTGAGTGACGGTGACATGGGAGGCCACCCCATGTGTCCAGCCACCAGGTGTCTCCTATTGCTGGATGCCTGCACTGTGAGTGCCACAGTCTGGTTTCTATCCAATAGCCCAGGGTTTTTGTTCTTTTTTTGGAAGCTGCCACACACCAGAGAGCAGCTGATACCTTCTCTCCACAATGGGCTGCAGAGTGGCTTGCTCAGGTTCTGGGGTTGTCAAACTGGAATTTTCTTTTCTTTTTTTTTTTTAAAGATTTATTTATTTATGCATACAAGAACTGGGGTACAGGCGGGAGGTATGGAGGGTGAGAGGATTCACTGGAGACAGAGTGGGGAACAGAACAGGCAAACTGACTGAAATACACTGCTGAGGGGAGCAGCGGGGAGTCAGGAGAGGTCTGCTGTGCCATGTGGATTGCTCCGTGGCTGGGGATTGATCTTGTGCTGCAGTGGCTGCGGATACCTTCATAGGTTGTGTCTTAACCCCTTGTGTAACCAGGGAAGTCCCAAACTGGAATTTTCTGAGGATGCTCGTCAGAGATCCCTGTTGTGAAAGAAGAAGCCACAGGCCCAGACTGTGTGCTTGACATTCCCTCCCTGCCCCATCCACCTAGGGCACAAAGCTCAGAGCCAGTGAGAGAGAAGGAGATGAAGTCACCTGGCAGTGCCCACGCCTCACAACACTGGCTCTCCTCTCCATTCTCCCTCCTTGGCTTCTGCATTTTCTTCGAAGATTTTACCATCTTTAGAATGTAAATGGAAAGAAAAGTGAAGGTGAGCTGAGATTCTCCCTCTCCCAAAGTAAGAACTAGCAATTTCCCCAGGCGGGAGGAGGTAGGGTGCAGGGGGCAATGTAGCCAGGCTAGAACTTGAGTCATGTCTCCTTCAAGGAAGGTTGGGAGGTGGGAGCAGGTGACAGTGGGGGTGAGAGCCAGAGCAATGGAGAAGGATGTCTTTCCAAATTCATACTCAGCTAAGTCATCCTCAACATGTGGTTTAAAGCACTAAAGCAAATCCAAAATATTTACCAAGCAAAATGATTTTGTAAAAAAATTGCTATTAATGTCATTAATAATTCTTGTCTCCTTTATTATTGCTCAAAATTGAAGTGACTAAAACTGAGGCTGAGAGGCTTGAGGGGTTCTCACACACTCTGCCTTCCCACATTTGCAACCCCAAATTTGGCTGCCACACATCCACTCCCTTCGCAGTGTGAAATGAAGGAAGTTTGCCTGTGATAACATAGCCTCTCTTTCTTGAATCTTTACTTTGTAATCCTGAGAGTTCTCCTGTTGCTCTAAACTCCCCTGGTGAGTTCATACTAAAATGTAAAGGACTCCACATCCTTCCCTCTATCCCCTACCATCCTTGTATGTATTTTTTTTTAAAGATTTATTTATTTATGCATGCAAGAACTGGGGTACAGGCCAGAGGTGTGTGTGGGGGTGGTGGTGAGGATCCACCAGAGACAGAGTGAGGAACAGAACAGGTGGATTGACTGAAGTACACTGCTGAGGGGAGCAGCGGGCCAGGAAGGAGAGGTCTGCTGCACCATGTGGGTTTCTCCCTGGCCAGCCGGGGATCGAATTCATGCTGCAGAGGCTGCGGATTGCTTCATAGTGCGGTGCTTAACCCCTTGCACCTCCAGGGAGGCCCTTGGATGTATTCTAAAGAGAGCTTTCTGACAGTGTAAATATAGACATCAACATTCTTGATAAAGAAGTATTTGCAGGTCATTACTGAGAGACCATTTGACTGAGTGGCTCATGGTCCCTGGCATGTCCGGTCAAACTGAGTCTCCTGGATCAGGACCGGCTTCCATGTGTGCCCTCAAGGCCCCTGGCTCACTCAGGTGGTGGCACACACAGACACGGGACCTGAGGCCACGGGGGATGCACGTGTCCCCTGGCACCCAGGCTTCAAGCAGTGTATGAAATATATGACTGAGCCCCACCATAATCCATGGAAAACTGTTTTAATCACCAGACACTGCAAGTGGTGGGTTTGGATCTCACTGGTGCTTTGTCAAAATGGAACTTCTTTCCTGTTAGGAATATGCCTGATGATGCAGTCTGTGAATTATAAATACACCATACAAAATGGAAACCATGTATTTTTTTTAAAGATTTATTTATTTATGCATACAAGAACTGAGGTGCAGGGGTGTGTGTGTGTTTGTGTGTGTGTGTGTGTGTGTGTGAGAGAGAGAGAGAGAGAGAGAGAGACAGAGAGAGAGTTCACCAAAGACAGAGTGGGGAACAGAACAGGAGGATTGACTGAAATACACTGCTGAGGGGAGCAGCGGGGAGTCAGGAGAAGTCTGCTGTGCCATGTGGGTCACCTCCCTGGAGGGCCAGGGATCGAAATTGTCCTGCCAGTGGCTGCAGTAGCTTCACGGTGCTGTGCTTAACCCCTTGCACCACCAGGGAGGCCCCAAAGCCATGTATTTTTATATTAAATTATTAAAAAAAATTATTCTGATGTTAAGAAGTAAATTGTTAACACAAAACTTTGATTATTCCTAAAGAGATACTGCATTAAGAGGAAGAGATAGATTTCTAATAGGCTTTTGAATTGTTTAATAATCTAATTAATGAAAAGGAGTAACCCATATGATTACATTAAAAAAATATAAAATTTCTTGGTGATTTGATAAAGATAACCTAAACCTCACAATAGGTCACTACAACAAGGGCAAACTGATTAGTAATTACTAGTGTTCTTCCTAACAAATATTTAAGGCTAATTACAACAAAGGAAAACTTAAATTATTCTGAAGTCTTCCAGCTCAATTATGAAAAACTTGAACATTTTTTCAAATTTGACAATAATCTTAAAAGTCCATATGACATAGCAATTTTAAAGTTGAAAGATATTTTAAAAGCCTATCAGTAATGAGAAAATAAATTTTGCCTAATCATACTAGAGAAAAATTGAATTATCTGTCAGCTCTCTCCATAAAAAATTACAAAATCATTATGAAGAATCAACAGGTATGCAGCCTAAAAGGTAGTTAATATCATATGGGTGTGTCAGGCAGTTGAGTAATAAAAATATTTTTTTTCTGAATTTCACTTGCCAGCTTTTTATTTATTTATTTTTTTTATTTTTAAAAATATTTATTTATTCATGCATACAAGAGCTGGGGTTCAGGGCAGAGATGCAGGGGGTGAGAAGTTTCACAAGAGACAGAGCGGGGAACAGAACAGGCAGATTGACCGAAGTACACTGCTGAGGGGAGCAGAAGGCGAGACAGGAAAGGTCTGCTGTACCATGTGGGTTTTTCCCTGGCCGGGGATGGAACTGGCTCTGCAGAGGCTGCTGATTGCTTCATAGTGCGGTGGTTAACCCCTTGCGCCACCAGGGAGGCCCTTGCCAGCTTTTTAAAATTCGGAATTTGCTATGATTCTTTTTTTGGTTTTTTAAAATTCAGTTTTCACTTCTGTACCTACATAACTTTGTATTACTGTCTTTTAAAGCTGATACTTATAATTTTGCACTTATAACTTCGTATTACTGTCCTTTAAAGGAGTACCACCTCAAAAAAAAAAACAACTCAAAACAATGAAAACTCAGATCGAATCAAACTGGCTCACTCTCCACAGCATTGGTGTTTTATTAAGATAAGGCTAAATAATAACTCCATCATTTTTCGTGAAATTCACTATGTGCCCACGTTATTCCGAGTCCTTGACTGTGAATGACCTCATTCACCCTCTCAAAGACGACTAGTTTCCTCCATTCCACAGCGGAGGAGGAACGCCAGCTCCAGAGCTGTGAGGGTACCCGCCCAGCAGCGGGGTGTCACTGGGAACTGCTTCCTTTGCGCTTCCGACTCCCTGGCGTCCCCTGCTTCCAGAGGGAAGAGCAAAGGTCTGGTCAAGAGCTCGTCCTCCGGAGGGCTCGGCAAGGACGCGGAAGGCTGAGGGACTTGCAGGGAAACACACAGCTGGAGGATGACAGAAGCCGCATCAGGCTACAGGAGTTTTCTTCTCTGCCCACACCCCTAAAACTCCAACCCTGGCCCAGGCGAGGCCTCGAGGTGGGGCTGAAGGGCGGGGAACTCTGGGCCAGAGAAACCCAAAGGCAGCCGAGTGGGGGGTAAGGGGGAGGGGAGAGGGCAGAGGGAAGGGGACCCGAGCGCAAGCTGGAGCCGCGGGTGGGAGATGCCTTCGGAATCCCCGCGTCTCCAGGGGTAGCGGCCGTGCGGCGGCCTCCCCGGTTTCATTAACTGGAAAATAAACTGGAGCCACAAAGGACTTGGGGGGGGGGCGGGTCCAGCTGCCACGGGGCGGGGGTGGGGGGTGGCGAGGTTGCTGGGGGGGAGGTGACAGGAGGAGGCCCTGCCGGCTGAGCCACCGTAAATCCTGGCGCTTGCAGACCTTCCTCGTGGGGGAGCAGCCTCCCGTCGCTGGTGCCGAGCCCTCAGGGCCTGTGAACTTCCCAGAGGGAGGAGGGGTGTGAGGGTGGGGTGGGGGTGGGGGGGTAAGAGCTGGGGAATTCCCTTCGGAATCACCCCACCAAGCTCTGTGGGCACAATGGGCCGTCAGATGGTGGGGAGGGGCGGAGGCTGCACAGAGCCAACCTTCTGCTCCCCGCTGAACAGAGAGACTCTGAGAGTGGGCCCCGGGGCATGATGGCCCAGGGGAAATGGGATTTTAAGAGAGACAAATGAGAGGTGGCAGCAGGTTGCCCCGCCCCACCCTTTCCTACTTACACTGCTGCTCTTACCTCCTCTTTTCAATGCTCTTCCTCTTTTCCTGTCCTCCAGCAGGATCCCGCAAAGCTCTGCCTCCCCCTAATCCCCTGCGCGGTTGTTTCGTAGCACAACTGTAGGCCTCTCCAGTCACTCGTTTTAGTTTGCTGGGGCTGCCATAACAAAGTACCACAGATTGGGTGGCTTACACCACAGAAATTTATTTCTCAGTTCTGGAGGCTGAAAGTCCAGATCAGAGTGTCAGCAAGACTGGCTTCTTCTGGCCTCTAATTGTTAGGGGGAAAAGGATGTCCTAAAGCTAATTCCATACAGGCTTTGTGGACTCCACCCCCACCCCAGGCCAAAGCCAAAGACACTGGGAACTCCAAATCCCATCCCCACCAAAGGGAAGGTGGCCGGGACCTGAGGGTGGGGTTAAGTAGCCAGGTTAATATAAAAGGCAGACACGTGGGCTTTGGGGGTCCCCCATTTTGGCTCTCCGCCAGCTTGCAGCGTCCGGCCAGCTCTGAGAGTGACTTTGGGTTTCCGGGTCGTCAGATCGGGTAGGACGCATTAAAGATTTTATTTCCCTATTTTCTCCCTGAGTTGTACATTTTCCTTATTTCCTTTTCCCTTGCAAATAAACCTTTTATTAACCTTGTGTGTGTGCCTGTAGTGGAGTATTCATAAGTCCCTTTTAAGCGCGTGGGTGAGGACCCACAGCCAGGAACCCGTTCAATATCGGGGCTGCTCTATAACAGCTTGGCGCCCAATGTGCTTTGCAAGGCTACTCTATAACACCTTCTTGACTTGCATATGATGTCTTCCTCCTGGTGTCCTCCCTGGCTTCCCTCTGTGCAATGTGTCCTAATCTCTTCTTATAAGGACACCAGTCAGGTTGGATCAGGGACCCACCTTCATGACCTCATTTTAACTCAATTACATTTTTAAGGACCCTAATTCCAAATACAGTCACATTCTGAGGTCCTGAGGGTTAGGACTGTAGTACATGAATTTGGGGGAACAGAATGCAGCCCATGACACCTTCCATCTCCAGAGAGTCTGCCACCAAACCTTTCCAGTAACAGGGTTGCCCTTGACTGGTCACTGTGACCACCTCTGCCCCCATAGACCTGCAGTACCCACCCCTTCCCCACCATTCTAACGCCTCCACTTTTTTCTCACACATTCAGGACCTCTCAGAAGCACCTGAGCACCTGGTCCTGTAACAGGGTGGTCCCCAGGAAAGGGGGAGGTTCCCTGCCCCTCCCAAGGGAGGGTGGAGCTGAGCAGGAAGAGGAGAAGCTGCAGAAGAGACTGAGGAAGGAAGGAGCAGGATGGAGCCAGGAGACCTGGAGGACGCGCATGGAGCCTAGAGACACGTGAAGAAACAGCTTGTCTTTTTGGTCGTGGACTGGGTGACACAGATGTGGGTGAGACCCGTGGGGAGGTGACAATGGCAGCTTTTATCTTGATGTTGATTTTGCTCTTTTCCTTCCGGGCTTGTCTGGTTGTTTCTGACCCTTTTCTGTGGGTCCCCACTGGAAGATGCTTTAGTCTTGTGGCAGGCTTTGGGGCCTTGTTCTGGGCCGATCCCATATGGATGGAGTTTTACCCACGAGGGGACGGGTAACTTTGGGTGCTTCATTTAGAAACTAGATTCTTTTCCTTTCCTGTATTGTTTTCCTAGTTGTATTAAAGTTCCTTCCCATTAAAAAGTCTCATATGTTTTGTGTTGATGCGGCGGATGGTAGAACCCATTTAGAATAGGCAGGTTTGCGGGGTTTGGGCTGCCCCTCTCCCTGTCCTATAACAGTCCCACAGGCCCAGTGGGCTGCCAACACCACCTAGCACCCAAGAACACCAGCCTCTTGGATGCAAGGGTGCTGCCTGTTGCAGATGTACAGCTCTCAGTTCCTTTGGTCCCTTAGGAATCTCTTCCCTTTAGAATGTTTCACTACCTTTAAATAATTTATTTCAAATAGGTTCAATGATACAAAAAAGAATATTGAGAAGTCTTATTCCCACCTTTTAACAGAAGCATAGTACTTCATTACTTGGATGTAAAGTGATTTATTTACCAAACCCCCTACAGAGGGATGCTTGGCTTATTTCCAAAACCTTTCTCTTGAGAGGAGTTCCTTGAAAACCTGAATCAACAAAGGTTTTCTAACACCAGGGACATGTAAGGGCTGAAGGAAAGGCGGGAGGGTGGGTGGAAAAGATGTGAAGGTAGGAGGTGTGGCCTCTGGCCTTGGGGATATTTCAAATTAACAGGGGAGTGTCTGTTGTGCTCTGTGGCATCTATGTGAAAAAGACCCAAAAGAGGCTCGTACTACACACATTGCTTGATGCTGCTTTGCTGGATCAAGACCTATTAGATTAGTGATGTCCCTGAGTGAGAAAGACTTGATGATTAGAAGTAAAGCTTGCAGGTTGTTTGTTTTCGCTGCCAGAGTTACCTATTGCTGTGTAGTAAGACACCGCATGTTCAGCGGTTGTATACAGCACGCACTGATTTGTCCATAGTTCTGCAGGTCATAAGTCTGGATAGAAAGAACAGCATGGAAGCTGGACTATGGTAACGGGTTAAGGGTGAAGGTGGGGAGCCAGGTAATAACCAGCCCAGTGGATTTAGCCCAAAGTGTGGGGGAAAGAGCTGTGGCCCTGGAAGTCAGTGGGGCTGTGGCCTGGCTTTCTTTGTTATGGAAATGTTCTCTTCTCTGGTCCTGTGGTTGCAATCTCTGCATTCCTAAAGACCAACCTTCTTAGGCCTTTCACTTCAGAGCCAACAGGACTAAGTTTTTTGCAACTTTGAGTTGCTTCCTTCAGGTAGAGCTTAGTTCCTCTTTAAAGGCTTTCTGTTATAGGACAGGGAGAGGGGCTCAGCTCCACCCTCGCTTGGGTGGGGCAGGGAACCTCCCCCTTTCCTTGGGACCACCCTGTTACATTTCTTCTGATTAAGCATGAACACTCAGTATAATCACCTTTTAATTAACTTAAAATCAATGGATGGGGCCTTAATTACATCTCCAAAAATCCCTTCCCTAGCTTGTATCTGACCTAATACCCTTACCAATGACTTGGGTAAAAATGACTTTCTACCCAAGGCCTGCTGAGTTGCTTGTCCAGATTCTTTTTCTCCAGACACCCAGGTCCCATCCGTCCCTCCCTGGGGTGCTTTAGGTCCCTGGTCAGACCCACATCACACCATCTCCTATGAGGCCAGGTCTAGCATTCACAAGCTGCACACCACAGCCCTCACCAGCTCTCAGTCCCATTTCCTACAACTAGGGCTTGGACTCACTGCCTATTACCCTTTAACCCCTGTCTCCACACACAGCATGACCATATCAGCTTCTATGCTTTTATTTCTGCTGGCCACACTGCCTGGAATGTCTTCATTTCTCTCCCCATTTCTGCTCTCTTCTGTGACTTAGGTTGCCATTCAGGAATTATTTTTTTGAGAAACTGCTGTGTGCACAGGAGATAGCAATGGAGAGCACTTTCCAGGTCCTTGAGAAGTTTTCAGGCTAGCGGATCAGAGTGGGGAACAGAACAGGCAGACCAAAGTACACTGCTGAGGGGAGTAGCAGGCAGTCAGGAGAGGTCTGCTGCACTATGTGGGCAGCTCCCTAGCTGGCCTGAATCCAGCTGCGGTGGCTGTGGATAGCTTCATAGGTTGTGTCTTAACCCTTGCGCTACCAGGGAGGCCCCGATAAATAAATCTTTAAAAAGAAAGAAAGAAAGAAACAAAGAAAGAGACTTGTCAGGTGTGAGGAGGGCCTAGGCAGGAACTGAGGTTGGGTAGGGTCTCCCAGAATCACAATGGATTTAGAACTGTTTGCATTTTAGCTTGAAGGCAGAGGGGAGTTTGAAACATGGAGTGAGGAGTGATCTGTTTTGCAATGAGGATATTCAACAGCAGACTTCACTGGTTGTAGTGGTCCGGGTAGCAGTCAGGAATCTTTGTAGGGAGATTGCAGCTTCCCAGGACCCAAATTCAGCCTCCTCCTTGCAACCTTCCAGGAGTGCTCACCCTGGCCTTCCTGCCCAGAACAATACTGTGTCTAGCAGCAGCAGTTGTACCAGAAGCAGCAGCAATTTAAATAATGACATGTGCATTATAACTGATGGCCCTGTGAAGTAGCAGGAGAGTTCTTACTATTCTTGCTTAATAGGTGAGGAAACCAAGGAAACTTATTTCTAGCATATAAGTGATAGTGATGGGCCTTGAGCGCAGATTGTCAGTCACAGTGTTATTGCCACGACAGCAAAATGTCTTTTGGCTTGCTTTGCATCTTAAGCCTTTTCGAAGTATTCAATCTGTTGAAAATATACATTTACATTTTGTTTGCTTACCTGTGTACAGTGCCTGGTTCAGTGTCTGTGTGACTTAATGAAGACTGTGGTCTCTGAGGGATCCTATAATCATCTATCTCCTCCAATTCTAATGAATGAAATGGATTGTTCATTCTGCCTTCATACTCATTCCCAGAATCTACATGAAATAGGCTAAAAACCCGGCATTCAGAAATATTTGTGGAATTTAAATGGCCGATGAGGAGCAAAAGAGAAGCTAGGGCTGTGTGTGGAGATTCTGGAGGGGAGGGGGATGGCTGGGCCGCAGGGGGCTGTGCCGGTGGGAACAGAGCCACCCACCATCAGTACCCCAGCCTGAACAGACTTGGCAGCCAAGTTGAGTCTAAGTAGCACTTTCCTGCTAAGTGCTCTGTGGGGAGGTGTAATGTGTCTCTATTTAAAATTAATTTTTCAGAATTGGAAGCCCCACTCTGAAAGGCAGTGCTCCCTTGGTGGCTTCTGGCAGGATTGGAAAGCCATAACTTTGGAGAGAAACACAATAAACCAGAAATTTCCTCCCAGGTGAGCCAGAAACTGCCTCTCTCCTTCTGAAGAGAGCATTTTCCAGAACTTTGTTCATCAAGTAGCTGGTTTTCAAGTCGTTTCTTCTATTTGTAAGTGAACTACATTCCAGTCAATGTCTGTTCTCTCTGATAGATGGGATGGAGGCATAGGCAATCCACACATATAGGAAAACACAAAAGTAATTTCTCCTTGACTCGGGGCTATGTTTCTGTATTTACATGTGAATGGAGTGGCATCTGAGGCTTTGGAAATTTGCAGTGCTTGTCGCCAGAGGGGAATCACCCTTGTGTAGTGGACTTTGCAGGACTTGTTCAGCTCAGCAAATACATGCCAAGTTCCTCATATCCAGTTGCTAGAGTTCAAAGATCATTCATTCATTCAGCCAATATTTATTGAGTACCTACTATGTGCTAAATATTACACAAGGTATTGGAGAAACAACAGTAATAAAAGTAAACACATTTTTTTCCCCTGCCATTAGGGAGAGGAAATAGACATTATTTTATATATATATATGTAATATATATTATATATACATATATATGTGTATATATGTTATATATACATAAGCTACGTGTGTATGTATTTATAGTTAGGTACTGATAAGTACCCAGGAGATAAATGACGAACAAAGAAGGAATAGAAAGCATTAGGAGAGGGGATGGGTCTTCCAGGGAACAATTCCTTGAAAATGTGACGTTTAACAGAGGAGGTGAGGGAATGAGACATACAGAATTGGGGGATGCTCTAGAGAGGGTAGAAGGTGGGTGCATATTTGAGATGCTTGAAGAAGAGAAACTGGAGCAGAATGGTGAGAAGAGCATAAAAGATTAGAAAGGTAGAGGTCAGAAAGGTAACTGTGGGGCTTAAAGATATTATGAAGACTCTAAACTTTTAATGTCACAAAGATGTGCTGCTGATGGGAGGTTTTGAGCCGAAGAATGATAATGACATGGCTGCGTGTTATAGCAGGAACATTTTGGATGCCGTGGGAAATAAATAGGCAGAGGCAGGCCTCAAGAGGAGTGATTTGGATCAGGTGAGAGCTGTGAGTGTTGAGAAGGGAGGGACTTGGGATTTACTCTGAAGGTAGAAATAATCGGACTCATTGACAGGCTAGGTGTGAGAGAAACTGCAGTTGAGGACTCTCTCAGGATTACAACCTAAGCAGCTGGAAAGATGAGGTGCTATTGTTTACTAAGGGAGCAAATACTGCAGAAGGAACAGATCTTGATGGGTGAGGGTGGAGGCAACGAGGGAAGATCTAGAGCTGGTTTTGGACAGGTTAATTGGGAGGTGAGTATTAGACATCCAAGTGGAGACAGCAGTAAATAGTTGGTTAATGGAATCTGGAATTCAGGAGAGAATATTCTGAGCAGTCAGGATATTTGGGAGTCAGTAGCCTGCAGATGGTATTTAAAGTCAGATTGGATGAGGTCACCTAAGTCAGGAGTGAGCGCAGAGAAATAGAGAGAAGAGATCCAAGGATTGAAATCAGGGACACGTGAATATGTAAAGGCCAGGGACATGAGAGGGGACCAGCAAATGGGACTTTGAAGGAGAATGCAGAGAAACCCAAGGAAGAAAGACTTCTAGGGCGAAGGTTTGGGCAACTGTGACCAATGCTGCTGGGAAGTTAGATGAGAACTGGAATATGGACGTCAAAAGTGACATTGACATGCCCCGTCTTGGAGTGATGAGGCCCGAGGCTTGGCTGAAGTGGGTTCAAGAAAGATTATGAAAAGAGAACGTATGTTGTAAAAAGATGGAAAGAAAGTGGTGAGTGGTGGCCAAAAGGGGAAGCAGGGTTAACCTTTCCTCTTTAAAATTGGAGAAATAGGACCTCCCTGGTGGCGCAGTGGTTGAGCGCTGGGTTGCGAGGCTGCCCGCAGCCTCTGCAGCACCGGTTCGATCTCCGGCTGCTCCTGGGCCACTGGAGGAGGGTCCCACATGGCGCGCAGACCTCTCCTGCCGCCCGCTGCTCCCCTCAGCAGTGTACTTCGGTCCTTCTGCCTGCTCTGCTCCCTGCTCTGGCTCTGGTGAATTCTCTCACCCTCCCGCGCTTCTGACTGTACCCAGTGCTTGTATAAATAAATAAATAAATCTTTAAAAAAAAATTGGAGAAATAAAGATGGATATAGTATTGTCTGTCCTCAGGTTGTTTTCAATCTAGGAGAGCTGACAGATGCATAAGTGGAAGTCATAACAGATGTTTATCAGTTCCCACAGCAACAGACTTCAGAAAAATTTAAAAACTCTAACTTATTTTAGGAAAACAAAGTACTTTGAAAAGGTAAGTGCTAAGCCAGGTCTTGAAGAAAAGTGATTTTTATCCAAGGAAAGAGAGAAGGGATTGGTATTTAAGATAGAAGGAAGAAGTCAAATCTTAGAAACCTGAAATGGGGAATCACAAAGAACTCGGCATTTCTGTTTTAGAATTGGACTGACTGGGTATGACTTCCAGGCTCTGCAAAACTTGTGAGCTTGGGCAAGCTGCTAAGCCACTCTGAATCAACCGTAAGGTAGGGGTCTGAGAGCATCTGATTCGCAGGGCTGTCATGAGGATGGCACAGATGCACACGTGAGAAATGCTGGAACAGGGCCTGCACAGTAGATGTTCAATAAATGTGAGGGCTGCTCGTCACTGGGGGTGGGGGTGGGGGTAGACAGGGAGGCAGAGGTTGATGGGCTAAAAGGCTGAAGACGTGCTTAGCTAGACACTGAGGGATTTGCGTGCCATTCTATGGTTTTTGACTTTATTCTGGGCACTGGAAGTCACTGAAGGATTTGGGGCGGCAGATCTACAGGATCTGAAAGTGTTCTAAGAGGTTCACCGTGGCTGCCCACAGAGGATGTTTGGAAGGGAACCCGCTAGTCCTGGAAGGGGCTTCAGAAGACCTGACTGTAGGTTCTAGCTCCACACTTCTCATATGTGAATCACTTCCTTACCAAGCCTTGTTTTGTTCATCGGGGAAGTAGGGTATTTTTTTTTTTTTTACGATTTATTTATTTATATAAGAACTGGAGTACAGGTCAGAGGTGCGGGAGGGTGAGAGAATCCACCAGAGACAGAGCAGGGTGCAGAACAGGCAGATGTACCAAGGACACTGCTGAGGGGAGCAGCGGGCGAGGCAGGAGAGTTCTGCCATGCCATGTGGGAATCAAACCCATGCTGCAGAGGCTGCAGACAGCTTCACAGTGCGGCACTCAACCTGCTGCGCCACTGGGGAGGCCCTGAGAAGTAGGGTTTACCAGACACTCCAAGTGCTGCTGTGAGGAGTAAAGAAAATGGCTAGAGACAGTGTTGACCTACTGCAGGACACATGGCAGAAATGCACAAACATTTGTTTTGATTTTAAACTGAGAAGCATCACATGGAGCAGTCCCCATCTTTGCACCCTGTCCACCAGCCCAGATCTTGCAGCTCTAGAAGCATGCTAGGGCTACACAGGCTGTGGGGACCTTCTTGTTCCCTCCTGCCCCACACTTCTCCCTTCATACTCTCTGCTTCACCTCTACCCAGCAGTCAGACCCCAGCACCCTCCACAGTGCCACCTCCAAGGCTGGGGCCTTCTCATCCAGGCCAGAGAGTGGCGAGGGTGGCTCCGATGTCACAGCTGGCCTCTGTCATCTGGCTCATCCGAGCACCATTGTTCTTATACTGGTCTTTGACTCAGCCAGACCTTTCACTTTAATTATCATTTTCATAACACCTATGTATTATTTCCCCTGATATTCCACACATTTCCCAAGGCACAAGCTGCACCTGCCTCTCCACGCACAGCCCCTCACTCACTCCTGGGGAATGAACTGAGCGAGGAGTTGACGGATGCTCATGTGACGCTGAAAACCTGCCAAGCTGTGAATAAGTGTGAGTTGGTTCGATTATGAAAGATGGGAAATCATGTCTTCTTTTTCAGAGAAGAACATAAAGCCTCTCCGTTGCCTCGGGCTTGCTCAGGCAGAGCTGACAGGGCTGTGACCTGCGCGCCCGCAATTGTGCCCTTGATAATGGAAACAACAATCAGCTCGTTAAGCTTCATGGTCTTGGGAAAGATAATGAAAGGAGGCAGGGAGGCTCAGTGGTCAACAACATTTTGGGGCCCTGCTCCCCACAACATATTTGGGCCTTTCTGTTCAGCTTACCTTGAAACAAGAAAACAAGCCAATTTCCAAGGTCTTCCTCTTCCTTTGCAGACTTCCTTTGTACTGACACGAGAGTGATACGAAGAGATGTCTGGCCTCTGGGAAGCAGGGGAGGCCCATGCCCTTTGCAATGCTCCTCCCAGACCCAACTCAGCCCCAAACCTGCAGGAGTGGTCCATTGGGAGTCTGGGAGCTGCAGGGTTAGGGGGGATAGCATTTGGAGAGGAGAATCAAAGCCCTGATCCTGGAGGGGGACTCAGGAGATGAGCTGGCCTTTGGGTCTTTGGGTGTTATTGCTGGTTGTTTTGCTGTGAAGAGGGTATGGGAAGCCTGAGTGGGTGAGTGACCCATAAGAGGCCAAGCTTGGCCTATGTGTGAAGAGGATAGGTGGGCAGGCCTGCTGCCCTGCTGTCACCACCGTCTGCTCCCTACTGAATGTGGGGTTGGTGATGATGATGTTGGGAGGTTGTCATCATGCAGGATGAGCAGTGAAGTCAGTGTGCATGTGTGTCTGTGTATGTGTGTCCGGGTGCGATCCACTCTCTAGTATTTAGCTTCAGATGTCCAGTTCTGCTGTGCTACTGCTACTGCTGTTCCTGCTCCTGCTCCTGCTAGGGACAGGGGGAGCTATAGGAACAATGATTAACCGAAACCACTGAACCCTACCATGTGCCAGGCATGGTGCTGTGTGCATAGCATGGGTGATGTCAGTCCTCCAAAAAACAGTAGTCATTGTGATTACCTCCATTTCATAACTGAAGAAATTGAAAAATGAAGTTTTGGAACCTGGCCATGACTGCAGAGCTGGTAAGTTCATGGAACCAGAATTTGTACTTGGAATAAGCTTTAGAGTTATTCAGAAATCTTTTGTGCTCCCTCTTACCCCAGGTTGTCTTGGTTGAGCACAACTCTAAGACTAGCTGTGGCCAAGGAGCTGGGAGTGGAAGTGTCACTTCAACCAGCAACTCTGGGAACCAGAATGTGCTTTGCCGCACTCTCCTCCTTCAGTGACAACGATGGCCAGTGTCCCTGCTAGTGCTGTGTCATCAGCTTGGGCCCTGGGGGTGGTGCCAGTGGGCAGAGCAGAGCTCTCCATGGAGCCACACTAGGCCTTTGTGAGTGTCAGCCACTGAGGTCATAGGCTGTTCACTCTCACAGCAACACCACCCAGGCCATGTTGACTGGGTGGGGATCAGACCTCTCTACACAGTGAACACTCTGGAACTCCACACTTGGCATCCCAGTTTCTCCAGCTAAGTTAGATGTTGCCCCAAATAGCTGGAGCAGCACTCTAGGTGGTCACCGACGGCACTGTGTACCCATCCTGTTTCCAGCACTTAGAGCTCACAGGGATACAGGCCAGCGTTGCACACAGCCTGGGACACAGGAGATGCTAAGAACATGCTCACTGAGTCAACATCCTTACACAAGGGTCTTGGACATCACAGTCACCCCACGGGACCAGGTGGCTGGGAAGCCTGTCCACCTCTGACCCCATCTTCTTACCCCAGGTTAGTGATTCAGGAGGGTGAGCTATTTCCAGGGGCCCCATCACCTGGGATTCTGCCAGGTGGCTGAGCACCTGAGGAGTCTTCCCAGTTGGCCAGGAGAATTCATCCTACACTGTCCAGGCTGCGGCAATAAGTCAGCAGGTGTGAGAAATTCACCCCAGAGAGTGATCTGGCAATGGCACGATGAGTAATTTACAAAGCCCATTAAGGCAGCACAGAATTACTTATTTATGGGAACTTTTTGACAGATCTGTGGCTTAATCATTTATCCCTCTGAACATTTAGCCAGGGTCATTGGTAAATAATTCACTTATTACACACTCTGGAGTGGTTTATGGTTGTGTGACTTATGATCTCACATGATTACACAGCCGGCAACTGGAATGTGAAGGCCGGGGAGGGCGGGAGCTGACGGACCTGCTTCAGACCCAGGCTGGGCCTTCTGGATGCAGGAGGAGGGTGGCCAGACTCCAGCAGAAGGCTCGTCTTCTCTAAGTCAGATTGATGTTAGGATACAGAGGGTATTGTCCCTGGTCCCTAACCTTTGGGAGGACAGCAAAGGGAGGAAGTGTTTATAGGTTGGTTTACGGATGCCAGAACTTAGCTCCAGTCAGGGTGGGATGAACCCCAGCTTCAGCAGCTCTCCAGAGTATAATGGGGAAACCCAAATGCCCCTACCTGACATTCAGTACCTTCAAGGACTCTCTTCAGGTGCTCCCCAGACTTATCACTCCCTCCCTTCCTTCCCTCTCAACTTTGGGGTTGGACTCTCCAAACAAGGCATGCCTTGGATCTCCCCATGCATTTGTTCACAGAATTGCCTGCCTACATTGTTCTGTTCTCTTGTCTAATTGCTACTTTTCAACTAGTTTTCAGCTCAGGGCCCACCTTCTGAATGAAGCCTACCGGACTATTTGAGCCATGTTTGCCCTCTCTCTGAAGTTCCTAAGAACCTACAAAGTGCACAGAGGACATACATCAGTGACTGGCTTAACCCTCCCTGGACGAGGTGTCCCCTCAGGGGCAGCATTCAGCCAAGCCAAGTGGTCATGGTCCCACCCCAGTGACCCAGTGAGCTGATGGTGATGGAGATGATGAAGACAGTTGTGACGTCGACTTCTCAGTATCTTCCCTCTGTTTCCCATATCGCTCACATCTTCCCCAGTCCCCAGAAATAGTAGAGGCTCATGGCCAAATCTTTAAGACTCTTTGAGAGTCTAAATGGCACCTAAGTGGGTGGAGGAAATCCTGCTGGGAGGAGAGTGTGGACTGATTCTGGGAAAGGGAGCTAGCGGAGGGGGTGGGGAACCACACTTCATTCCCTCTTGAAGGTCCTTCCCAAACCACACCCAATCACCTACACACAACTGCCCAGGAAGACCCTATGATTTCTAATGTGCTTCCCAGTGTCCCAGCCTGGTAAAGATTAGTGCTCTTCTTGCATTGAGGCATCTAAATGAGGTCTTCCTTTGTATCAGTACTCATATTGCATAGATAGACACCAAAGACCAAAGCAAGGTTTTTCCCACTTTTAGATCTCCAATGGGAAGAGGAAAGAGGCAATTTACTCTCTCCCACCTTCTGCCTAATGCCTGTTACTCACCAGGAAGTGCTTTCTAAATTCTGGTCTTAGGCAGTCTTGCTGTTTTGTTCAAGGAAGGTGAAAAGCATGTGGTACAGGGAAGGAAAGTCTGGGCCTTCCTGAGATGAGTTGGGAGATGAAAACACCAGCATCATAAATATAGCGCTCTGTTTCCCTCCTGAAACTCCTCTGGGCCTTAGGGAACTTTAAACAGTTCTCTAGTCACCACTTACAGTGAAGCGAGGCTCTGGTTTATTATTATACCCATTTTTATGTCATCCTCATAACCATGTCAAGGAAGTATCCTTGGTAGTGTCTGTCACCCACCGGTGTCCTAATAAGAAGGGGAAGAGACACTGGAGGTCTCTCCCCCACGCCCCCTCCACTGTGGGTGCACAGACAACACATGAGGACAAGCTAAGAACACGCTGCCAGGAAGAGGCCTCAGTAGAAACTGATGTCACCCTGGCCCTCCAGCCTCAGAACCGAGAAATTAAATGTCTGCATTTAAACCAACCAATCTGTGGTTTTCTGTTATTGCTGAATGGAGTAATACAGCCTCCTTTTGACATGAGGAAATTAAGGCTCTAGACATGAAATAGTTTGCCCAAAGTCATCCAAAGAGTAGGTGACAAAGTGAGGACTTGAAATTAGGACTGAACGCATGGGGCCCTGCTGACTGCCCTGGGAATGGCGCTCAGGGCCCAGGTTTCGCAGCTAGTGGGCGCTCTCGCGACGCTCCTGCTGTGCGCTGGGGCACCGCGGCTCCCCGCTCTCAGGCTCCAGCTCCCACTTCCTGCTCTCCTCCCCAGCCTGTGGTGACCACTTCCCAGGCGCACACAGATTCTGCAGTGCCGTGCTGCCATCTGCTGGCCGGCACCACCTGACACCCCAGCCTCCAGGGCCTCTTTGCCCTCTGTTTTTATTTATTTTTATTGTGGTAAGAACACAACATGCCATCTACTGACTTCAGGAAGAATCTGTCTGCACAGCACAGTATTGTTAACTATGGCTCCATGTCCTATTGAGGATTCTAGAACATACTCCTCTTACACAATTGAAACTTTCCTTACTTCTCTCTCCAGAGCACAACCACTGCTCCCTCCTAAGTCCAGTCTCTCTCACGCCCTCCTGCAGGTGAGTAGCTGGTATGACAGGTCTCTGGTCAGAAAATGAAAAAAAACAAACAGAAGGCAGGTACAGAGAACTGCTCTCAGGCCAGGGAGAAAACTGGCCACAAAAAGGAAAAGGCGAGATTCCCCAGAGTTGAGGTCCTCACAGAAGATCAAGCCAGCCCCTCCAAGTCCAGGCAGGGGCTGGGGGACCTCAGAGCTGGGGCTTCTGGTCCTAGACAGGAGCACTGGGGAACTCCGGGTGTGCCCGGAGTGGGTGGTTGGGCGGGTGCTTTGCGAAGCCTGTAGGAAGACGGTCTCAGGAGTGCCAGTGTTCCTGTTGGCTGGTTTCTGTCCTCGTGTAGTGACCTGTGTCATACAAAGTCCCATCCTCATTTGACGGATGAAGAAATGGAGGCTCAGAGAGGTTTATGGTATAAAGCTACCACTTAGTCACCCTGGCTTGGCATGTAGGGTGACAGGGTATCTGAAAGAGCTGAGCCAAATCAGAGAGATGATTAATGCCAGTGCTTAGAGGGGCTCCCTGTCTCCTCCACACCCGAGCCCCCCACTGAGCATCTGTCTGTGAGGCTGTCCAGAATCTGGTCTCTATGCACAAGAGGGCACATGACAGCTGGTTACTGGTGCTGCCAAGGCTCCTGGCAAGAGAAGCTGATGAGCAAATGTAAGCTAGGAGAAGGGGCTGGAGAGGAGGGATAGACGGGGCGAGAGGGTGTGAAAGGGAGAAGGAGCCAGGGAGGAGGGATGCGGCTGAAGTCGCAGAGGAGGAAAGAACTGAGGTGGAATACAAGACAGGTAGACAGAGTCAGCAATCACCAATCTGTGTGTCTTCAGGGAACTTTTTAATCTATAGGGTGGAGATGATACAGTTGTACCTATCTCACAGGACTATTTTGAAAACTAGGTGAAACAATGGGGAAATCACTATCCTCAGAGTTCACACCACAGTCAATCCTGGATTAGTGGTTGTTAAATCTAAAAGTATGAAAAATAGGAGGGGTGATTCATTGCTCTTAATCTCCTGTGACTATTATCAATTTTCCCGTAGTATCTCATCACCAAGAAGCACAGCCCCCCAGAACAGGAGACTGTGTCTGTCCCAGTCCATTCCAGAAGCCAGGGGGTCATCACACTCCCCCAGCTTTGCTTTAGTCACTTCTCAGGAGCAGGTTTTGTCTCATTGCCCTGAACTCATCAGCATTCACAGAAGCTATGACTTTTACACTAGACTGAAGTAGGTCCTAATTACGAGTCACAGGGAGTCTCAGGCTTTTAACTGGGAAGAAGGTAATTTTATTTCTTGGGAAGGACAACACATTTACAAGAATATGCAACATCTAAAAAGCCCTGAATTTTGAGTCAGAAATGGATTATAGTCCAGGCTTGATCACTCCCTGTGTCATCCTGGACAGACCTCCTCCTTCCTCAAGTCTTAGCATTGTGATCAATGACCTGAGGCTATCTCTAAACTTTCCTGGTTCCCTGACACTGAGATAGTGCTAGCTCT